AAGACTGGTGAATAGTGAGACCACAAATTACTAGATTTCCCACAATATATCACACTCGCCAAGGTATTTGCTAGCATAGGATTGCTTGATGGGTCACATTCACTTCTGAAAGGTGGTCCAAAAGTAAGTAATCTAAGCATCTAGAGGGAGAAAATTAAAACTGTGCAAGTAAATTTTCAGTCCGCCTTATTTGGACATTTCTTGTTCTCTGATGTAAGTGTTAAGATTGCTTGATGGTGGAGCCAAGCCCACCATGTGCTGTACATACATTGGGCAATGATTTCAGCGAAAGAAGAGATCATGTTGGTTCTCAAAGAAGATGAAAGTAGAGATGGGACACACAACTGCTCCGGATCCTTCATTGCGTGGATATTTTATGAATACACCCTTCATTACAAATACTTGGTCATTGAGTTAGATCATGAAATCGATGTAGATTTCTTAGATATTCTTAAGACATTGGTCCCTAATAGGAGTATAGAAGATGTAAATTAAAGCAATCATCATTATCATCATCATCATAGCTTTTTTCCAATTAATTGGGGTCGGCTACACGAATCCTGGTCCGCCATTCTGCTCTATTAAAGGCCATACCCTCAGCGAGGCTATAAGTCCCCATCTTTTTTTAGACTACGTCCAACCACATCCTTTTGGGCTTACCCCTTGCCCTTTTTAGTCCTACTTGAACTAACTCGCACCTCCTAATAGGGGTGGTACTTGGTCGATATTATACATGGCCAGCCCACCTAAGTCTACTCTCTGTCATCTTCGTGTGCCTTGGGGGACGTTGGACTTGGCCAGCCCAAACTAAAGCAATGAGTTGATCAAAGTTTAGTGTGCCTTGGGAGATTTCAGATGGGAAATCACAATTCTGAATAGATTTAACATACAATCAAGTGAGCATACTTGTATGAAATATCAATGTGCAAACTTTGAATTACAAAGATTAAAAAATTGTTTCTGTTTGTGTTTACTTTATTTGACTTGTATAAAATTATTAAATATGCAACTGAGTGCTGGCATCTTTTGGGAGTGAGACACCTCATTTTCAACATCTTGCCATTCAAGTATTGAACCTTAAACTGTATAAGTCAACTAGTTATGAGCAGAACTGATTTTAGCTTTAAGTCTCTTTTTGCTTGGTATACTACAATAAGATAGTAGAAATCTACCAAAGCATTGATAAGTAACCTTTCTACTCTTGTTTGTTACCTTTATTTTTATACAACTCCGTAATAAATGAAGGAATGTGCTAGAGCAAAAGGATATAATTGATATAGCATATTTTTGTACAACAAAGGCCTTAGGAGTGGTGTTAGAAGCACAAGTAGTCATGGACATTGACCCCATTGTCTTGGATGAAGTTGATGGTACAAGTGAGTGGATACTAGACCCATACTCAGAGCTGTTGTTTGAGGGTGGAGCCTTAACTTAGTTGGATGTCTAATGAACATCAAGAGCTGATGAAGACCCTAAGCCTGGACTAGAGTTGTGTCCACGTTCTTGTCAGTTCCAAAGATTGAGGAGGAGGACTCGGTGGAGGCAGAAGTAGATGATGGGGTGGCAGTGGGGGGAGAATATTTGTATGATGGGGGGCACAGTGGAGGGAGAAGTATATGTGGATGATGGGGGCAATGATACAATTGATAATGGCTCAGCTGCGGATCTGGGAGACATAAGAGATGCACATGCATAGGACTTGGAGTCTGATTTAATGTAAGTGCTTGGTTGGAATAATATATGCTCCTTTGTGTTTAGTTGAGTTTAATGGATGGATTGGATGATTTTATTATGCATGTTAATTATATTAATTAATAGGGATGGAAACTATCTTCATTACTTTTTATCAGTTACTTAGACACGATATATATTAAGGATAAGTACTAAACAAAAATGCTCCTACTATCATATAATTCACATAATAATGTTGATCTTCACAGTTTTATAACGTTTAACAAAAATTTTAAATACTTTTTGTTCATTAACTTCGTAGGAAGGGATCCTCGTGCATCAAGGCAACATTGATGCACTTGGGACATCTAACCCTCGTAGAGCCTCAAGTTTGCATCCCACATTTGAGAACTTAGTTGATGCTTTTTGTAGGTGTTATTGGTGCCTTAAAATTTAGATTACTACGACCCAAGATTTCTTGATGGTTGTACTTTTGTATCAACTAGTTCATTCTCTTGGTGAAGGTAAGCAGTTTTAGATTACAAAATTTCCTATTTAGTTTGCTTTTTATCTCGACAAGGATGGTACTTTACAGAGTTTTAGAATATGCAAGATCTTGATTGGATGTCTGTATTTGGTGCATTATTATACCAAATATTCACATTGCTTGCTATATCTGTAGAACACCTCCAGGCTTGAAACTGTTGACGTGCATCTAACTTGTTCAAAGTTTCACAAATGGAAAACTTGGTGATGCTGCTACCTTTTCAAAGAAAGCATTAGAGGCCTGTAAGGACCCAAATCTTTCCGGGATAACAATGGTTAAAGTTACACGACTAAGCGCAGGAAGGTGAATGTGAGCGGGTGGATGCGTGTTAGAGCGCACGCGCAGGTAGACGAGTCTGCGAAAAGAGAAGGCAGAGGTGAGCGCGTATTTGGGCACGAATGATCGAACACAGTTAGGCGCGAGTGAATGGATGCGCCGTTCAACGCAACGAGCGCGCGGTTGAGTGCGAGAATGGATATTGCACGCTAGCAAGTGCAGATGGCTGAACGCGTGTTGAGAGCACGGGCAGATGAGCGTGTTGCTAGGCGCGGGTGGTGTATGGTAGTCTAGGGAGCTCCTTCTCTCTCATGTTTGCTCTGTATGCATGAGTCCAAGTGGTACATGCATGCCGCACCCCCACCATGATGTCTCCCATGCTTGTTCCCTCTCTCTCCTATGCATGCAAACTTATTTGCCATGTGGCAAGTGAATGCTGCCACCATCCATACTTATTTGTACACCCGACCCACTCATGAAATGGGATTTTATCTCTCTATCCTCACTTGCTCTCTCTCACCCACGTTCACCTTCTCCTCCGATAGTTATTTGACCTCTTCAAGCCTTAGGCCCTTAAGCTTGGACCCAAACCATTGGAGCTTGGCAGCCAAGGTGAGGTTGGTGGAGCACTGCGGGATTTCTATTGGGATACGTAAGTGGATGTGGTTTCCATGTCTTCATGCTTATGTTAATACATGCTTCCTTACCTAATCAAAGTATGAAACTCAAGTATAAATATAGGTGTAAATGTAAGTGAGGGTGCAAGCTACTGAAATTGCTGTAAAATGTGTTAGCTTTTTTAATCTATTTCAGCATGGAAAAGACCCACCTTATTTGATTTGAAAGTTATTAGCCATTTTTTGAAGCATACCAGATTTATGAAATAAAATTTCAGGGATTTAACGTATTTTTGTATGGATCTTTTTACTGACCAAAAAATATTAGAATGAGGTCAAACTATTTCTAAATAATAGATAGATGATTCTATTTTGAAAATAGTTTTGAAATCATGATGAAATTCCCTATAGTTTGAAAGTTATGACTATTTTTATATGAGGATGTCACCCTGGATTTTCTGCTATGAAAACGAGAACTCCATTCAAGAACAGCTTGAGTCCAATATTTGGGGTTACCCTTTTACAAAAGTTGTGTTTTCGTGAGCCTAGATTGTCGTAAAAGTGGTTTCAGGTTCAAATGATTTTTGAACTTCACGATATGTTTTTAAAGGTGAACTATGCTCATATTGAAAAACAAGGAGACAATGTTTTGATATCTATTTCATTGTTATGATATGAACATGGAATGAATGCATGATAATGAGGACATGCTTTGTTATGAAATGAATGTATGATAATAAAGACATGCTCCATTATGAAGTGAATGCATCATAATAAGACATGTTCTGTTATGAAAGGAATGCATGATAATGAAACATGCTCTGTTATGATATGTGTGCATGAGATATGCTCTATTATGAAATGTGAGCATGACAATCTGTTGCTAATGAAAAATGTATGCGTGGTAATGAGACACTCCTCTGTTATGAAATATGTGCATGATAATGAAACATGCTCTGTTGTGATGTGTGTGCATGATACGTGATAAGACTTGTGTGGTCAGCTATGTGATAAGGCCTGTGTGGTCAGCTATGTGATATGGGTGCATGATACATGCTCTGTTATGATATGTGTACATGATAATGAGACATGCTCTGACATGATGCTTGTGTGGCAATGATGACACTTGTGTGGTCATCTATGTGATGAGATCTGTGTGATCCTGAGACATGTGCATGCATGGTTGTAATAAGACATGCCTATAATGTGTGAGCATGGACTTGCCAAACTATGATAAAGTTGTGCCGACAGTTGAGATCTTTCCCTGACTTTCGATGATAAGAAGGGAGCTAGGAGGTGATGTAAATTTGGGAGGGTCGAGCACTATGGATTGGGTTACCTTTTGGTAGTGTAACGCTCTCTCGCCAGAAAGGCACATGAGAGGGTCGTGTCTTGCAAGGTCTCCTCCCATCAAAAGCCCCAAAGCGCTCTGGGGACTGTGTCTATGTGCGAGGCACTACTCATCGGCTCCTCCTGTGGTGGTGCTTCCCTCCTGATGAGATGGTAGAAGTTCTAAGCATCGGAATTTGATTGGCCTGATGAATAGGGCTTCTACTTCAGGAGTAGGTGAACTACGGAGTGAGTTAGTTGGTAATTGGTGATCTTGTTTGTGCTTGCCTAATTATGTTGATATGTTAAAATTTGTATGGCTGAATGGTTTGATCGATCTCTGCTCATATCATATATGATTGATCTAATTTGTTATTGCTTCATTATGAATCATGCACGACACATTGTTAGATATGATTTTGATATATGGCTCATGTTTTATAAGAATTGCATAATGCCTTGGGTTTTGTTATACGATAAGATGTATAGGCAAGAAAGTATGACGTATTGATCTACTTATCGGGCTTTACAGCTCACCCTTTTAACTCTCCTCTATGTAGAGTGATAGCCGCTGGGTTTTAGAAGGACGTTCTGGTGATCGCGGTTGGAGCACCATAACCCCCTTCTTTTGAAAGTTTCTTTATTTAAGTGTATGTGATAGATGGCAGTTTGGTCATATAGTTCGTTTTGTATTGGAACTATGTACTTTTGTTGGGCCTTTTGTGCTTTAGACTTTTTTATAATATTTTGGAGCTAATATATATAGTTTGGGACTTGTTTGTCCAACCCTTTGTGGTCATGTACTTTGTGTTTTGTTTTCGTTCGTGGTTGGTTTTGATTCCTTCTTTTCAAAGCGTTGAGCACACTCCAACCTGAGTGACATTCGTTACCTGTGGTCGCAACCCTGCGCCCTATTGTCCTCGTGGAAGGCTCGGGTTAGCTCTCGGGTCCAGCAAGGACAGTGAGGGGCGGCGCTGTGACAAGTCTCTTGCATTTAAGCGATACTTTGAGACGCTTGATTATCTTAATGAAGCTTTCGAGGCTGATCCAGCACTTTTCGAGGCTTACTTTCACTGTGCATCTGCCCTGCATCAATTATGTAGGTACAAAGTTGACTTTTGCTACCATCCCCCCAAGTACACCATGGCTTGAATGAGTAACTACTTTTTTTGTGGCTGACCAGGAGCATGTCCAATGCAACATATATTCACCCGAAAAACATACATCATATTAGCATTTTATTTTTGTTTTCACCTTCATGATTTTCAAGTGTTGATCAAATAATAACTGTGTTGATTCGTATATATTTGCTAATGTTAAAAATCTCTCATAAAAGGAAATATTTAGAGAAGGAACACAAACTATATTGTCCAGCTAACATGTTGAGTAATTTTCGTAAAATGCTTAAATAGATACTAGGTGTAAGAGGCAAATTTGTTTTTCAAACAAATGCATAATGCATGTATAAATTAGCATTCTTGATGCAGGAAAATAGGTAAATGAGGCAAAAAAACAGCTCAATAACAATCAAAACAAGCTAGATTTGGGTGGATCTGGCTTTCCTTGCTAAATAAGTTGACATCAACTCACAATATGTTTTTACTGTATACATCTCAAAAGTGTTTGAAACTCAAACACCCAAGGTCCTTCTAATACGTAATGGTTAAAAAGGACCAAACGACCCCCACTTAAAACATTATACAAACGTCCCATATGTTCCTTCACTTTAAAATAAATTTCGTAATGACACTTTTACTCCTAATAGAACAAGTAACTCCATGAGTATTTTAACCACTTTTTGAAACATCACTTAAAATCCTAAAAGAAATAAAAAATCCTAAAATCCCTAAAAGAACTTAAAACCCCTAAAAATAACCTTAGAAAACTCCAACTATGCATCTTTAAAATTTAATAAAAAAATTAAAAAAATAAGAGGCATCTTGTCTTGTATTATTCTCCCCTAATTGGAGAAAACATCTTGAGTTTTGAAATATGCTAAGATGAATTTTGTGTTAATCCTACAATTTTCTTCTACCCAAATATTGAAAACACAATCTTAGGACTTATAAGTTATTGGACTAATCAAAACACAAGAATTGTGCACTAAAACTGAGTCTTTGCAACCAGTTGATATATCCATAAATACTTTCGAGAACCTTTCGGGGAAAGGGTCATTATATGTCAATAGAATACCCTTGATATGTACACTTGGTTCGGTCACAATGACTACGTGAAGTTGCATCAATGCAACCATTAAACCTTGCTGAATTTGCCTTGGTTCAGAACTAGAACAAACCAAGGGAGCATCTTGAAGACCATCATAAATTAATTTTTTTTCAAAATTTCATATATATTTTTTTTAAATCTCATTAAGATGTGTTTTGTTTAATTTGACTTTAAAAATGTTTTTGTGTTTTGTTTTGTTTTTATTTAATTTTTAACATTTCTTAATTTTTAACACCTTTTAGCCTTTGCCAAGACCTCGCTCCACTCGATCCAAGTTACTTAGAGCCTGGCCAACAAATCCGGGCTGAGTACTCAACTCCATGGCCCCAGTTTGGGGCTGAGCACGCAGTCCGAGTTGCTCTTTCCAACAATGATATATATGGCAAGCACAAGACCGCACTTGTGCAGTAACACCGAAAGCTGTGGTGTCATGTATGAGGCTACACGCGGACCACATTCATGTGATGAACGAGTGGACAACTTGAACACGTGTAAAGCTATTGATGCAAGACAAGATGCCTCTTGTTTTTAAGTTTTTCTTATTAAATTCTAAGAATCTATTTTTGGAATTTTCTTGGGCGATGTTTTAGGGGGTTTTAAGTTCTTTTTGGGATTCTAGGGTTTTTTTTATCGTTTATGACATTAGGAGATGTTTAGGAAAGTGGTTAGAATACTTATGGAGTTACTTGTTTTCCTAAGGGTAATAGTATCGTTACGAATTTTATTGTAAGTGAAGAGACATATGGGGTATTTTTATAATGTTTTAATTTAAGCGGGGTTAGTTTTGGTGATTTTTTTTGTCATAATGCAATAAAAGGACCTAGGGTATTCGGGTTTTAAAGATTTTTGGGGAGTGAACAATATAAGCATACTATAAATAGCGTCAACAAGCCTTATCTAGGGTAGGTTTGGGATCAATATTTTGTACAATAAAAGTCAGATCTACTTAAATATGGTCAGTTTTGATAGTTATTGAATTGTTTTTTGCCCCTTTTCCTGCATCAAATTAGTATCAGAGTGTAGTTTTTTTTCAACAACAAAGTTGGAAATCTGCACCCAACTCTAAGGTTTGTTGAATTTTAGCTAAGTGCCAAATCAGCCTAGACCTTGATGGTCTCAGTTATTTTGTTTATTTTTTGCCTAGGGTTTATGATTTCAGAGAACCTATGGTTGCAACACGAGGTCGAGGAAAAGGTATTTATATGAATCCACCTCGTGATGAGCAGAATCAGGAGAGAGAGGAACTGAGTTGACAAGTTCAAGAACTTACATAGCGGCTTGCAAGCATCAATCGTGGGCAAGATGAAGCTTTTTCTGTCCACGATGATAATGATGCTTCGCAAGATGAATCAAGTGAGAGGAATATGGTTGAAGGTACAGACGGCACTCAAAATCCATAGATCTAAATATAGATATTCTTGATTTTAAATGTAAACCGTAGCCCGACAACTTTAGAGACTGGTTAAACACAATAGAGAGGTTCTTTGATTATAAGGACGTGTCAGAGAATAAAATGGGAAAATATTGCCATTAAATTGAAGAAAGGTACTTCGATATAGTGGGAACAGCTTAGAGCAAGGTGAGAGATACTGAGAAAGCCCAAATTAATACTTGGGATAACATGAAAAAGAAATTAAAGGAAAGTTCATCATCATTAGAGCCTTTACCCAACTAATTGGGATCGACTACGTGAATCCTGATTCGCCATTCCTAACCCCTTGCTCATTTCTCACTGTAAATGAGTTCCGGTACAATGCATTGCTTTTGGGGAACACCTGAGCATAAGAAAATATTTTAGGTTCAGGATTCATGATATGTTTTGACGAAGTTTTATGTTGTCTTCCTACCTAATACAACCCACCCCCTTTATCCGGGTGTGGGACAGATTAAGGGAAGGTTTAAGGTCCTCAGCCTTCTTAAACCAAAATTAAAAGAAAGTTACTTACCAAAAATTATTGGCAGCTCCATTATCATAGGATGAACAATTACAATCAAGGAAAAAATGGTGTAGAGGAGTGTACCGATGAATTTCATCAGTTGATGGCACGAAGCGATGGCGTTGAAAGAGAGGAACTGTTCCTAGCTTGCTATGCTGAAGGACTGAAACAAGATGTGGTTTTGCAGCCGTAATAGACCTTAGTCCCTTTGTCAATGGGTCGGCCATCATATTGGTTGAGGGGAAATTACTTCATTTTCTCAAATACATCCTGAATGTAGTAGTATTGTACCTTTATGTGTCTTCCTTTGGAGCTATCTAATCTACTTTGTATTAGTTTAATTGTAGCTTGATTACCACAAAATATTTGTATCGGCCTATCGATTATTTGCAGCTTCAAGTCATCTATCAAGAGCTTTCTCCAGACAGCGTAAGTACATAATGTATTTTGCTTCAAGTGTGTACCTAGCAACATACTCTGACTTCTTGCTAGACCCAGAAACAGTTACAGCTCCAAAGGGGAAAATATGCCCCAAGGTGGACTAACTATCGTCCTTATCCCTAGTAAAGTTTGCATTTGAATATTCTAGAACTTCAAGCTTATATGCTGGAAAACATAATATAAGATGCACTGTTCCCTTAATTTACCTTAGAATTCTTTGACAACTTTCCAATAGGCTTTGCCTAAATTACTTTAATATCTACTTACAAGACCTAAAACACAGCTCAAATTTAGTCTTGTACATAGTACTACATATGCTAAGCTACCAATAGCTTGTGTATAAGGAACAATGGATTTTTCTTGTCCTTCTACTGAACAATCCTTCCTAGATAACTTCACTCTCTTTTCAACAGGACTATACAATGGTTTATAAGTTTCTATTTTAAATCTCTTAAGAACAAAGTCAAGATATATCTCTTGGCTCAAGTATGAAATTCTAGATTTCTATCTCTAGTAATTTTTATGTCTAGGATATAAGAGGTTTCTCCTATATCTTTTATCTTGAACAGAGAAAAAAGTTATGACTTAGTATTATCAATCATATCTAAGTCACTTCCAGCAAATAGAAAAGTATCTACATATAATGAGAGTATTGTGAATGGCTAAGTCATTAGCCATTACTAGCATTTTATCATTTCCCAACAATGGTTAAGTCTTTTGCTATAACTAGTATTTTATTTACATTATCTACTACATTATCACCCTCATTCATTTTAAATGAGTTATATTGCTCCAATAGCAATTGGAGGTGAGTTTCAGATGTTGTTTTGCTTTTATTGCATCTAGTATTTTCTTAGATATTTCATAATATTCGAATATCTTAATAAGGTCATCTTGCATAAAAGTTAGCATTGTCTTAGCTATAAGGTCATCTTCTAAGAATTTTTTGAACTTTTTTTTTTCTTCTTCAATTGATTTATCACAAATTACTGGTGGATCTTCTTTTAATACACATAAAGTTCTATCTTGGATGAGGAGACATTTCATCTTCCTCTTCCACATGTCAAAATTGGACCTATTCAGCTTTTTCTATTTTTGAAAATTCTACCGTAACAATTCTATTAGTCATGTGCTAAGTTATATGTGAGCAACCAAATATTTTCTAAGTTCTAAACAAATAAGATTGTAAACAAAG